CTCTCTCTCGCTCTCTCTCTCTCTCTCTCTCTCTCTCTCTCTCTCTCCTAGTTAGGCTATGCATTGTTAGCTGAACAAATGACAATCCCGTCGCTTTCTACGGACTGACGAAATCTCGTTTTCTTCTTCTTCCCTCTTTTTCTCTTTTTAACTTTCCTAAGTGTGGGCTTTACGAGGTTTACGAGATCATTCGCATGTCGCGTAGTCGGGCGAGTTGCTTCGCCATTGCTAATTGGACCAAAATGTTAACGAGGCGGCACATGGTGGATCGATAGTGATGTGTCTTAATTCTAGAAAGAGGGGAAGGAAATTATACATATATATTATTTATACAATATTTCGATGCAAGATAAAAAACGATAATCTTTAATACCTATGATTGGGTCATTTGTGTCTTGCACATTTTTTTTTTTTTTTTTTTTTTCAAAAAACTACTCAAGTAACATACGAAAGTCAAGAAAAAAATTAAAATAATGTTACTTCGCGATTAATGCATTAATAATGTCAATAAACGGTTAAATTTTGTAACAAAAAAACCATCATTTTGACTTTTACGTTATCAGAATAAAATCGTAAAATATGTTAGCTACATCAATTTGCGGTTTATGCTTTACAAAAAGTAACACACTCAGAATCCTTTGTATTAATCCGTTAATTGACTTGGGTTGTATCAAACGATCGTTTAAAATGCAATTAAGGCGAAGTCCCGTTAGAGCGGCTACGAAAGAAGTTTCGTCCCGCGACATTGTACGCTATACTCGACGCTATATACGAAATTTGTTGAAAAATAATCGCTCGACCGGAAGTATCACCATATACGCTGACTACGATTTCTCTCGAGAGTTCTCTAATACTCTGCGCCACGTGCAACTGAGAATGCTCCGTTTCACACACCGGACTTCCCTACGCCACTTTTTTTACATTCTTTTCTTTACGGTCGTTCTTACTCAATGCGCTTATGTTTATACATAAGAAATCAAAGCGCAGTAAGTAAGAACGGTCATAAAGAAAAGAATGTAAAAAATGATCACTGTGTCATTTATGTCTCTTATTGGAAAGCACTCTGAAGTAAATAGAGGATATAAAACAGAAAGAAGAAGATTTTATGTCGAAGAATTCTTCGGCATAAAATCTTTTGTTAGTATTATATAGAAATGCCAAAGAGCAGAAGTTTATGTCAACATTTGTGATTTTATTGACTCTGTTTACTGTTATGTGACCCAATAAATGTAAGACACTGTAACGAGTATTACTTACGGAATAAAAAATATT